TGAAAAAAGAAAGGAAAATGGAAAAAGAGTTAACATACTTACACATGCTTGAACATGAAGAAATACATATGCACATAGGCAGATGTTTTCCCTTTTTAAAGGCTAATGGATGTTTATATGAATTCCTTAACAGATATTTTCCCTTTTCCTAAAGTGAGCACAAATGTTATAAGGTATATCTTAAATTTATTAGAAATTTGTCTGTCTTATAATCTTTATATATACTAAAAACTTCAAGGAAATCCCATGATCAGGGAGAAAATGTAAGATAGAGTTATAATTCCAATATTTGCCTGTTACTAGGAATTCAGATCATACCGAGCGAATTTCAATTTGATTGCAACTCAATCTAGCAACTGAAATGTTGGACACACTTGAAATACCATGAGCTCCTTTGAAATAACTTAGTGGAGAGATCTTCACACCTGATGTGGAAGACATGCACAGCAACAGGTCCTTTGATAAAGAGAATAGAACCAGATTACCACGCAGATCTCCACAGACCAGCACCTACCAAAAGTTTAAGTACAAGATACATCAGGTAAATAAATAATATGTAGTACCAAAATTTATATATCCCTTTTTGTGCAAACAAAGTAAACTGAACCAAATCAGGCTTCACAGTAGCAATAATTTCTTCAATGTTGAAACTAAAAAGGCTTTTCTAGTTTGAATAAAAATCTCCATCTTAAAACCATAGGAGAGAGCCCATTGAAATCAGCCAAAGAAAGAAGGGTAACACATACCTCTTCCTCAAATGATGCATCCAAGCACATTATTCGTACTCCAAAACATGAAGGGAATTCTGCTATAAGGGATATTCTTCCAGAATCCTGACAAACAGATATTGTGGCGTCATATAACCTCCACAGCTTCAAAACTCCTCTGGGATCAGTGGTGAAGACATACCTAGACAACAGAAACGATGATATTTCAAAATCCTCTACAGCTTCAAGGTAAAGAATGAGACCTAAGGTGTCTCTTAACTAACAATGCTAGATTATCAGCAGGAAAGTTACAGATTCTGCATTGGGCAATGTAGTATAAGAGTTGGTTACTTCTTTACCAATCATATTATCATATTAGTAAACCAGCAATTCTCATTTGCCTTAACCAGCAAATAGGGTTTATAAATGAGCTAAACAAAAAAGAAATGGGTTTAAAATTCACACTCAAGCACATAGGTTTTTACAGCTCAAGCAAGCAATACCTGCCAGATAATCAAAATCAGGATATCATCAGATTAATAAAGAAAAGTATTACCTACATCCAAGTGACTTACACCAGTAAGTTCCTAGGAGTTGCCTCTCTGCTCCAGCTGACCAAGTAAAGGTGAAGCCCACTTCAGGTGATGAGGGATCACCAGTGACTCCAACAACTGTCATGTTTCCTTTACCATCTCCAAGAGCAATCCAATCATCTATATCGCAATAATTTTCAGAAAGGCTTTTGGACAACAGATCCATACAAACAACTGGAACCTCTCCACTGACACGGACTAGTTCAGTCCATTTGACATCCCCTGTCTCAGATAATAGAGCATGGTACAGATAACCACGGTTTGTCGCAACATAAATGGTATCTTCACATTTAAAATACAAGGAGCGCACATATTCACTTTTGCTGCAGCAACAGAACCAGCAATGACAATTGACCATAACTATATGATACAAAAGAACAAGACAATACAAAAATGAAAGAAGTAGAGCAAAGAATGCTAAGACATGGGGGGAGAACAGAGGTTTGTGATCCACAAGGCACAAGTTTTCATCCCCTTCAATAGAGATATCCTAGTAACCACTAGAATGTTCATCAGCACAACATATTATATACCAGCATCATAACAGAAGATCTAACATTTTTGTAATTTGTTAAAGAGGCATTGATATCATATGTCAAGCAGGACTAGGAGATCAAGAGAGGCACTATCTAGGAAAACCTACTAATTGTCACCTATGACCTATACAAAAGGTATTAAAACCCTATTTTTAGTTTATAAAGTAAGGTTCTTTATGGCTGAGAATATTGTAATAGAATTTCGGTGACGTCACCAATGTTTAAAGGCAATAACAACAACAACAACAAACTAAGCCTTATATCCCATAACTCTGGAGTTGGCAGTATGAAAGGCAAAAAAAGAAGGAATCATGTTAGGTTGTAGTTTTGAATCTTTTTGTGCCAATGTTTAGAGGCAATGTGATGGAAATTTTTTATTATCCATTGAACAACTTTACCTGTCCATGAGCCAAGCATGCTCCATTGAATTTGGAACACAAGTAGTGCTTATCTGTGCTCCCTCAATTATATATTTGGATTCAGTATCTCCCTCCAAGTCCAATGTCTTATAAACAGAAGTGTGTAACTGATGAACTTTAATCGCGGAGTCGAACCCAGCAGTAACGAGAAGTGAAGAGTTTGGGTCATATAAACATCGCCATATGCCTCTTCCTCTGCACAATCAAAAACATTTTAATACTTTATCTATATGATACTAAAATATTAGTTTGATCAGATTTAGGCTAATTCAACAAAGATTTCCCCCAAAATTACCGCAGTTTCAATATAAAAGGTCATATAGAATATCAAAAAGAAGGAACAAATTCAAGTACAAAATCTGGAATTACAGCTTACATATGTTCCTTAACCATCCTAAGCTGCTTTCCATCCAGACCCCACAAACGGCATGTGCAATCCTCACCAGCAGTAATAATTAACTAACAGAAACCATAAGAAATCAGTTTCTGATAGAGAAATCCATAATTTAAAACCCAAGCTAGGAAACACATTAATTCCAGATGCAGCCAGATACAGCATTTTGGAATTTGTAAAGGAACTCAAAAGCATGCTAGGATTTTCATAGAACAAGTTAGAGTTTAAATCTTTCACAGATTATTTTCTTAGTTCTCTGTTCTTAGATTTTACATATACCAGAAAGAATAGAACAAGTACTAGTGCACCAGGATTACATGAATCTTACAGAATCAGAAATACAGCAGTCCCAAATCCGAGCACTATGGCCAAAGAGCACAGGACCAACAGCCTCCCTTTTGTCATCAAAACCATTTTGCTGAATATGAATTGTCCAGATACGAGCACTACATGGATCAAGAAACCATTTTAATGCATTACATAACTCCAAGAATAAAGTAAAATGATAAAAGAAAGGAGTTAAAAAACTTATTCACCTCCTATCATCAGAGACAGAAACAAGCTTGGCTCCACTGGAAGACCAGACAATACGAAATATCGAACCTTCATGTCCAACAAGTCTACATATACGAACAGCTTTATACTGCTGATCATGACACTTGACAAAGTTGAAGTTTGAACTGCTTAAATTCATGCAATCTTTCACTAGACTTGTTAAACTTGGAGAACCATGTTGAGAAATGACTTTCCAAACTATAATCTGCTCAAAGTCATTTGGTTAATAAGAAATCACTTTACGTCAGTGGTGCATAGGAGTAAAGTTACTACAGACTAGAGAGTGTATGTAAACCTATAAGGGTGATAATAATGATTACATTAAGACAACACCCAAGCTGCACCCACATTTAACCTGATATTGCCAAAGGACCATACTTGGGTCACATATTTAAGGGATAAGTATTATAAAATTTTAAATAAGAACCAAAAAAACATATAATTGGTAGAGTTAAGGGACTTTTTTTCACTAAAAGAAATTTCAAAGACGGTGGAAGCATTAGACAAAGAGAAGTATTCATTGCAAGGAAAGACAAGCCACCTCATTATAAATTGTACCAGAAGCAATTCGAAGATCCTCAAGATTGTCACCCCATAATCGCATAGAATACAAAAGGCACCTATCTACAAATTAATTAGAAGGAATGTGCAAGAATAAACGTTATAAAAGGAAATAAAGCTTTTTCAAAAAAATATAATCAATAAAAACTCAAAAATTCTGTAACAAAAAGAAATGGTGAATTAGATATAGAAAAAATGCCAGAATTTGGATACAAATAACCTGGGGATTGAACTTGAAGAATCAAACTAGACTTCAACATATCCCAAAGATGGACAGAGTTGTCGCTACATCCAATAGCAAGACAATGGTCCTAGCACCCAATACAAGAACAAACATTATCATTAAAAAAACTTTTTTTGAAACTTTAAAAACAAGTTCAAACTTTTAACCCACACAGTAGTCAAATGAACTGAAAAATATTTTACCTTTAAGAACAAAACATCTAAAACCCAATGACTAAACCTCGGCAAAGAATGAATTAAACTCAAGTCCACCAAAAATTCTGGCTGAATCTGGGAGTTTAGCTTAGACACCAATCCAAAGCTAAAGTTAAATAACTTTACTCTCTTTTCACCGCAAACAACAACCTTATAAGTAAATGCATTATCAGGTAAGCCACAAATGATTCCATGAACGCGAATGCCTTCAAAGACATGAAAAGATTTTATCATAATTTCTGATTCTAGATCACAAAGGAGAACTTGAGAACCGGAACCTGATTTAAAACAGAGTAAAAAGTTACACTTTTGAATAAAAAAAGAGTGGGTTGGGGGATATTTGAGGGAAGAAAAGTTTTACCGGCGAGGAGATAAGGCAGGGAAGAGAGGTGAGAGGGAAGGTGGAGAAAACAGAGGGCTGAGATTTCTCCGAGGTATTGGCTGCTACATGTGTTCCACTGGCTTTGGTACAGCTGCGAGTCCGCCATAGTTGAGAACTTGGAAGGGAAACTCGAAACAGGTTTGAAGTTGCAAAGATTTTGCTCTAATGCACGATTCGTGGGCTTTCAAAAAAGTCTAGACTGGACCTATTAATATGAAGGGTTAGCCCAATCCCAAAAAGAAGGAAGAACAAAAATTTACGGAATGCGGTGAGCGTGGATCGAACACGCGACCTTCAGATCTTCAGTCTGACGCTCTCCCAACTGAGCTATCCCCGCACGATGAATGGAAGGATAGAATATATTTTATTATTTTAATTGTAATAATTGAGCTCCATAAATAGATGGGTGGGCGAGTTTTCGTTGTCTTACCGCAATCATTTATTGATCCTACCATTTTTCTCCTTTTCTTTCTTCTCTCTCCATTGTCAAGAAAAGACTCGAGTCGGCTGTTGCAGTGCCATGGGAAAGATCCCATCTTTCAAGGACGAGTTCACATTCGGTTTGCTTCCCTAAACCCTTACCTATATTGTTCTTCAAATAAAAAAAAAGAAAAACCTCCTTTCTGAAAACGTTTTCTCTTTCTTAATTTTTTTTTTCTTTCTTCTAAATTGAATCGCAGACCAAAGACTCGAAGAATCGAGGGATATAATTGCCAAATATCCCAATCGGGTCCCTGTAAGTTTTCCGATTCAGTCTCGTTTGACTTTACGTTTGGTCAAACCTTTTCCTTTTCTTATCTTTTTCGTTTCCGTCTTAATATCAGTTATTATTTGCGTTTCAAAGTTTCTGCCTCTGGGATTTTCCCAGAAAGTTAATTTTCTTAAACTATGATAATTTTCAATTTTTAATCTGTTGCGTTTGTTATTTATTTGTTGATTAATGTTCTACAATGGTTGTCAAGACTTAAATACTATTTTTAGATTAGATGAACTTAATCCCTTCAGCCCCTCCATGGATATGGCTTATATGAAAGAGTTTGCCGGTTATTGCTAAAATACTGATTTGTTCTTTTTCTTCTGATTTTGCAGGTGATTGTTGAAAGATACTCAAAAACAGATCTTCCTGAAATGGAAAAGAAAAAGTAAGTTTCAGCCTTGGTCAACAACAATTTGTTCTCATCAATAGGGTGTTTTTGTTGTCTTTCTACCTAATAATTCTTTGTTAGGAACCTCTGCCTAATGCGAGAAGGACTAGTAATGATGGGTGCTTTTTTTTATTTTTTTAACTTTGTGTAATTATCAAGATTGTGACATGTTGAATTCTGTAGATGAAAAGATCCCAAGTGGGAAACACAGCTCCATTATCTTCTTATGACCGATTGCATTCCATACTTGTAAACTTCATTCTTGAATTGATGTCAAAACTTAGTTTCTTGTTAAAAGATAAAAGGGCGGAATAAATTTATGCAACACTGTTTCCATTTATAGGTATCTGGTTCCTCGGGATATGTCTGTTGGACAATTCATTCACATCTTAAGCCTGAGACTTCGTCTGACCCGTGGAAAGGCGCTCTTTGTATTTGTAAAGAACACTTTACCTCAAACAGGTTAGCCATGGCCATGATGAGACTATATGTCATATTTCTTTCATATAGTTTTGTTGTGTAAAACATTTTCTGAGGGCTTCATCGATGACCTTTGTTTGCAGCTACTCTTATGGACTCTGTCTATGAATCTTTCAAAGAGGATGATGGATTTCTGTATATGTGTTATAGCAGCGAGAAAACCTTCGGTTGTGCTACTAATCAGATTCAACTGTGAGCTTTGTGCACAAGTGTAAAATCCCTTGGTTCCCTCTCGTTTCGCCTGATGATGGATCTTGAATGTTGAAACTCAGCCTGGTATTTTAGTGTTGTGGCATCTGTTAATCATCATTCATTCTGTAAATTCTATCAGCATACAAGTCATTCTACAAGTTACTTTTATCAGTATCTATGAACTGGCATGCAAATATGTAATCTGGTGGTAAACTTCCAGTTATGGATCTAATGCCTACAAATGGTTTAACTTTGGGAAATCATACATCCCTTTTGTGTGTTCTCATTTTGACATCTCATCTCAGTTCTATGGTACTGGATTTTGTCTATAAAGCTAAGGTCTAATGTTTAAAAGAAAGGCTGTTATGTTGCAAGGTATATACATTAGGAGGATTAGACATCAAACTTGAGAAAAAACGATCGTGTTCTTGCATCAGTTTGATTTCGGTTTGGCCTAAATAAATTTACTGGGTTCTAAAGTTTTGTTAGTGGAATTTCACATTGATCCAAACAAAACCAAATTGAAGTCATCCAACTAGCAAAGGATATCGCGTGGCAATGTCATCGCAGCAGCATCCGCATTGAAGATCATTTTAATCCCAGAAGGTGATTAATGAAAGACATTCAAGTCAGGAGGTTGATAGAGATGCCATTTGACCATTCAATCTTCAGCAAAATTCTTTTCTATGGGCACATGATGAGTAGTCCATTTCCAGCTACCTTTGAACACTTCTTGAATGGCTTCAACAAGATAATAAAGTGGATGATTAAGCCGGACTCCTTTAATATATCTTATAGCGATGAAAGAGTCAGATTCGATTTCAACATTGATAATCCCCAACTTTCTTGCCAAAAGTGATACCATTAAACAAGGCCCAAAGTTCAGCAGCATCAATATTACAATTACCAAGAATGCAAAAAAAGCCTACAATCCAATTTTCATATTCGCCCCTTAACACTCCCCCAGTTCCAGCTTTGCACTCTTGTTGGTTCCAACAATCATCAGTATTGACTTCGATCCAATCTGGAGGTGTCTTGGCTCATGAAAGCAAAATTTTCTGTTTTTCCTTATCCGTGAGATTACCAATCCTGGGATTGTACCATTCTCTTGACATTATTTTATGAACAGTGTCAAGTTTTCAAACCAACGGGATGGTTGTATTATCAAAGATGTTTTTATTTCTCCACTTCCATATCATCCATACAACATTAGCAAACAACATAGGTCAATCCCAGTTGCCCCACCTGTGGATTTTTCCCTTTTTTGAGGCTGAGGATAAACTATTCTTTCAAGTTATAAGAAAATAACTCACTTGGGTGGTCGAGAGGCAGGAGTATGTGCCGTATTTTATCAGAGTCCTTGCAATCTCTCAAGATATGAATAGTAGATTCATTGTCATCATCACAGAAGCTGCATCTGGTATTAGAAGAGAGTGATCTTCTCCATCTGTTTTCGTTGCTCAGGATTTAAATAAGTGCATAGGAATTATTTTAAATTTATAAATAAAATAGATTAAAAATTAGTATCATCGCTTCCGATAGCTAGAAGTCAGTGATCGTGTTTTATTTCATGACTAGAAACTCAGCTCCGTTTACTCTGCAGATTTAACATATGGTAAATATTTATTAGAGAGAAGAAGGAAAATGAACACGAAACCAGAAAACCATATATGACAAACCAAGAACCTTTAAAAGCAAATATGAAGACAAGCCAAGAATCTTCAACTTTTTATATGGCTTTTTTTAGTCAGTGAAATGCATGCTAACATTTAAACGAACAACTTCCGGAAGCCAAAAAGATCCAAAAAGATCCTTCTCACATAAAAATTACCCTGTTGGATAAATGTATCATCTAAAGTAGTTATATCACAAAAGTCAACACAACTTGGATAGTTTTTATAACTCAAAAACCCAGGCCATTAACGGAATCTTCTCCACCTATTGCCAGCACTTCTGAGAATATCATAGCAAAACCCAATCATTTTAAGAACACTTATAGGTCATCTTGCATGAAAATTTGTGACCTTCGCCTGAGCCAAACACCATCTTCCAGGAAGCCTTTGGCCTATCACCTATGGAAAGAGTTTCTGACTGCCTCCCTTCTTCCAAACGCCCCGTACAGGCGATCCTCCAGTGGAGCTTTGACTGCCATCAAACTTATTATCTAATGGTTCAGGATCAGGGTCTGGCTCAGAATTTTTTAGATCCAATATTGCTGCCATTGAACCATCACCAAGCCGCACCCGGTGAAATTTTGAAGTTTTCTTTCGTTGCTTGCTACCACCACCCCCATCCACTGACCCAACTTTAGCAGATAAGGAGTCATTTTGGCCCCCAATTTTTGTTGAGGGCTGATTGGTAGAATTCAGTTCCACCTGCTGTTCAACCATCACATTCAATTTGCCTTTGGCAGGACGGTAATCATCCTTTGATAACACCTCCAGTTCTTCTTCAGAAGACTTATAACTTGACTGCAATTTGCGGACACTGCTCATTATACTATCTGCCAAAGTATCCCTTGAATTACTGCCCGCAGCATCCAGAGACTTCCCTTTCCCTTTCCTGGAGGCATTATTATCCTTAAACCAGACACTGCCTGAGGCCCCACCATCCTCTTGCAGACCATTGCTTTGCAAACTAGCATCATAGGTCTCAATTAGCTCTTTCTGCTTATGAGGATCAGGGCAGAGTCTAGCCAGCTCAAGAACTAGATGTGACAAGCCATACCGTTGTACAGAATCCAAATATCTCTCTGTTCCTATTAAGCCCCGTCGATACTGTCCAGATATTTCTTTAAAAGCAGTGTATTTTTCTTCATCATATTCAAGAGCAGCTCGCATCTTTTCCACAAGAGATTTGTTGGCTGTGTGAACATCTTCCCCATTCATCAAAACCTGGCTGCTTGAGGACAGTTTATGCCTATGTGCTGCAGAAACCGGAGGGAAATCAGAAACGGGAGGTTCTAAGAATCCACCATCAGCAAGATTCGGCGATGATGAAGAGTGGCTAATCCTACTGCTGTTGCCTGAGCTCATTCGAGGACCAGATGCTATTAATATATCTGCTGTTGTGGGCCAAGACTGAGCCTGAGCCTGTGCATGAGTTGAACTTGCATAGCTCAATTGTGCAACTCCATTACTAGTACCAAGTGATGTTACAGCCGCAACATTTGTTGCTGGTTTAACCTGACTTGAACTACTTGCTGCTTGCATGGGCCTGCGACTTGTTGATGGCCATGCCTGAGTGGAACTCATAACATTTGTATTCCAATTCTTCTGGCGACGCAGATGTGCTGCCATGGTGTTATTAGGCAAACCTTCTGAGCTATGTTTAGGCTTTTGTTGACTGGTGCTGGGAGCGATGGGGAGGGGAGGAAAAGAAGATTCTTGCAAAGGTGCACCCCTAGAGCTTCCCCCCAATGCTTGAAGGTATCTTGAAGATGATTCAGAATCTGTTGTAGATAATAATTCAAAAGGCTGAACAAGTGGATCCACATCATTTATGTCCCCATGATCAGAGACCACCTGCATAGTAGATGATGCTGGTGGATCACTGGCTGTAACCAAACTAGCCTCAATGGCCATGGAAAGTTGATAGTCATTATCAGATGGCTCACGCCGAAATGTTCGTCCCCTTCCGCGACGATTATCTTCATTACTTCGACGATACCGAAAGCTTGTTGGTATCTGGAAAAAGTACAATTAATTAACAAAACAACAAAGAAGAAATCAACTCATCTACAAAAGAATACATCAGCGAGAAAATTCAACTTAAAAGGAGCCCACTAATTGGAAGGATGAAACTTACTTGTAAAGCAGCACTACGCTGTGCACGAGACATACGACCTCCATGTTCAATGGTATTATGCCTCTGGAAGGATAAAATGGAAAAAAAACATAAGAACTGCATATAAGAAAAGGAAAACTTAAGCTAACTAAGGACACACTCAAATAATCAAAAAGAATAACAAAGTTTATATGCCCTAAGAAGTCACCTTTAATTCAGCTTCAGACTGAAAGACGATAAATTTCTTGGCGAGGCAAGCCTCATCCTCACATAGGTAATGATCTCGGCGAAAATGAATCTATGGCAGACAATTTTCAAAATTCCATTTAACTTTACAAGGAGAAAAAAAGAAAAAAGAAAAACAAAAGAAATATATAAGTCATTTTACCTCAAGGTCATTATAATTCTTGTAATATTCATATTGTCCTGGATGCTGCCTGCATTGAACGTTGAACATGCAAAAATAAGCACACTTGTTTTAAGGTGTATTATAAAAATCTGTACCAGGATTGGCCTCAGTACCTTTGGCATATATGACATGTATAGTGCTCTGTGGACATGTGTGAGTATAACTCGTTATCCCCATAGAATGGGGTCTTGCAGAATTCACACATTGGATGCCCCATGAACCCACCTCTCTCACTCTCAGTTCCATCCACCTCAGAGTCACCCGTGCTTATATGTTGATTTAACTGTGCTCTAGTATATAGCTTTTGTTCACAAATAAAAACCTACTTTGTCCAAAGGAAACTAATGAGATAATCAACGCATACACACACCTTTTGTTGACGGAAAAATAACAGATTCATCAAAAATGAATAATGCTACACGGTGGTCATATTTTAATTATAACTGTTATATAAAAGGCCAGACATATTAATCTTACCTTCCGTCCTTCCAAACACAGGCTGCACATAACCAATCTATGTCGATGAAACAAATGACCTTTCAACTGTTCAATGTTCCTAAACTTCCCCCGCCGTTTCACCCCATCATTGGACTGCTCTTCCATCTGGTCGCATACACTACATGAAAGCCTGCACATTGCCTTGATCATCCTGTAGTGATCAACATCATCGAAAAACGCTTGGGTATCCTCATGGTACCAGTACGAACCCACCCGTCCTTCCCTTACTTCGGATGGCAATACAGAAAAGTCATTGATCATCCTCGTGTAATCTCCTAAAGCCTGGATTAAAACCAGAACCACAAAGACTTATTATATATAAAAGGATATTAAAAAAAGTAACAGACGAACTCGAACTTGGCTTAGTGATCGTCATCCTCTAATAAAGATTCGAAAGAATTAGATAATGAAATCAGGAAATAAAACAAATGTCGAACGCTCTAATTACGATAATTCAACTCGAAATTGAGATTGGCGACCAAAAAAGAAAGAAGCCCTAACCTTAGTGACGAAGATGACGTTGGACTCAGTCTTGCAGATGCAGCAGCGGCGATCGTTGCAAATGAAGCGGAGACGAGCGACGCACGTGGAGCACACGTCCCGGTGACCACACGAGCCGTACGCAACCCATTCCAAATTGTCAGCGCAAACCGCACAGCTGTCGTCCATCTCTGTTTCTTTATTATATTCTTAGAAACCCTAATCGCTCAACTGATCGATCAAATTGATGCTGTGGAGAAAATAATAAAAAAAAAATCTAGGGTTTATTTTGCACAGAGAAAACTAATACAGATTTATAGCCGATGATAATAATATTATATAGTTAGTTTATTACGTGAGAAGGGATGACACGAGGCGGCGCTCCGATTTGGGAAGTTACAGGCAAGAAACTTGGGAGGTGAGAAACGAATGGTGACCGGCCACTGGCTAGATTTCTTTAATAAAATTCTTTCGGAGGGAAATATGGATGAGAAAATAAATGAGGTAAATTACAATTTTGTCATTTTATTTACGTGAATGACTCAATTTTATCTTTAATTAAATTCTTAATTTGTGTAATTTTGTTATTGTATTTTTATTTTGAAGTAATTATTATTATACTTCAACTTTTTAAAAATAATTAAAGAATGTTTAATAAAAATTATTTTACAATTTATTTTATAATTCCAACAAATTAATATATATATATATATAGTAGAGAAAAAATCAAAGCCGATTGAAAAATGTATGATGTGATACTACATATAATGGAAAAATGTCATAATGAAATAAAAGAGGAAAAAAAAGAAAAATTAGGATTGTGTAAATTATATTTAATATAAATAAAATAAATTAAATTAAATTCAAAATTTACATTCATGGTTTTTTTTTTCAGATCCTATTATTCTTTAAATTATTTTTAAACTATAAATAGTTTATAATATAATGTTTTTATTGAATATTCTTTAATTGCTTCAAAATTTGAAATATTATAATAAATTTATTTCAAAATTAAATGTATAGTGATAAAATTACACAAATTAAAAAAAAAATTATGATAAATTTAAATTACTCATATAAATAAGGTGATAAATTTATACTTTATCCCAAAATAACTTATTTCTTTTTTTTTTTATCCTCTGTTATCTTTGTTGATAAAGAGGAATCTACGTGTGTTAAGCTATTTTCACTTTAGATTTTGTTTTTTGTTTTTTTTTTTAAATCACTTTAGGTAATGTTGGAACAAACTAAAAATATAACATATATTAGGATTTATAATTCATCGTTAAAATTAACTAACGAGTCTGACATGATTGATATATGTTTATCAAGATTAATTAATTAGCAAAATATCTTACTCGCTTATGCAAAAAAGAAATTAAAATTGTGATAATGGCTTTTTTATTAAAAATTTTCAATATAAGTCGTGTTAATTTTAAATTCTACAACGAACAAATGGTCTTGTTTAATTGGATCAAATCGAACTAATTGGTAAAAGAAAATAAAAAAAAAAACTATTAATATTGTAATGTAAGCAAAGTTAATTCAATTTTCAATAATTAAACCGATAACTTAGTATGCAATATTAGCAATTTTATATTATTAATACAATTATTAAGTCATCCTTCTTGCGGAGCAAGTACTATTGTGGTAGTAATAAAAGTGTGATAATTGAATTTTCAACGATGACCATATTGACCTGAGATTTCAAGTGTAAAGCTATTAAGACTACGGTATTTTCAATTGCTTTTACTGCTGTCCATGATTTGCAATTTTTTTTTTTTAAACAAACAACTCTGCAATTATTTTCAATGGTCAAGTTGGAAAAGAGAGGATATGAATTCTATGCTCCTTTTACATGCATTATGCCAATATTTAAGTTTTATATCTCCATCACAAACAATCGATCACTTAAATTTTAATAAATACAAAATTTTTTTCTTTATCTTCATGCTATAACTTTTATAAAAATAAAAATAAAAAAAAAACAATTGCAAATGTCACAACAAGATAACAAAAAATTTTCTATGAATATCAATACTTATCATAATTATCCAATTATATATGTGGATTAAACTGCTTTATAAAAAGCGAGTAAAAATTAATATCGAAATCAAGCATATTGCTTAAAAAATTACAATTGCACAAACACGCAACATGATGAATTGTCCATTCCAACTAAATATTTAAAATAAAATTTATTTAGAATAAATTTTTTATTAAATTATTTTTTAGTTATAATTACAATAATTTTTTTAATCACAATTATAATAATTTTTTTTTTACTTTTAATCGAAACTAATTTATCACCTATGCTTAATTCTTAATAATAATAATACTACTACCGACAATAACATAGGCACAAATAGAGAAAACAGAAACGAAGGAACTCTAATCAAAATCACAAGTAATCCACAATGGTTCGTCAAATTCACCACTCGGTTTAACCCCAGCCTCATTCCCCAAGCACAAACGCCCCATTTCCAGCTCGCCCCCTGCGTGCCACGCTGGTGTCCCATTCTCGTACCCATTCCATGTCAGCCTCCTCAATCCGCTCCCATCCAACCTCACAACATACAAATCCCCGTACGGTTGGAACTGGTTCGGCCACGACACCGGCTCTGCCGTCACGCCTCCTATGTTTGCCGCGAACACCAACCACTCTCCATCCTGGCTAAAACACACGTGGTTAATCCTCTCCCTGTCCGCTTCACTCGATCCTTTCGGTCCCGCCACGTAAATCCTCCTCAAATCAGAGCCGTCGGGTTTAATTACGTAAATGCTAAACGCTTCAACATTATCCGGATTATGCCGGTTGGATGAAAATGCTATGACATCTCCCTTGGGAGACCAACACGGCATCGTATCAATCCAAGGACCCTCAGTTAACTGACGTATACCCCCGTTAAATTCACCATTAATGGCGTCAAGAATGTACAAATTCTTATGTCCAGTACGGCCAGAACGGAATACGAGGGACTTTCCGTCGGGAGAGCAAGACGGAAAGGCGTTATTCCCTGCATCTTCTCGGGTAAGCAACTTTACATCGCATGGGATCTCTTCAAGATTACCGTTGAGACATGAAGGATCAAATGTGATTCGTGCGATCTGAACCGTTGTCCTAGCTGCCTCGAATATCGGGCCCAAGGAAGTGTAAATCACGTGTTTTTCAGTTGGGCTCCATGAGTTACAAAATGATGTACGGAACTTGATCAAGGTCCATCCTTTCGAGCCGTCTAATTTAACAACTTTAACGCCGCCGTTTTCATCCAACGCGGGATTCAAGGCTAGGAGATCACCGTTGGGAGAGAAGGACGGGAATGATCCATTGAGTCGCAGCATGCGTAGATCCTTGATCGGAGACATAACTGGCTCGAGATGTGGAACCGTGGACTCGCCCTGCGCCGACTCACCTCTAAACCTGTGGTACCCGAGGGACCCAGAATCGGGAGAGACAAAGGGGTTATAATGATGAAAATTCGGATTGAGCAAGTCAGTCACTGGGTGAAAAGCCTTTGATTCAAGATCGAGAATCTCAATATGTCTGTAACTCTTACTGCGCCGCCGAGTCGCGACTGCGATTCGTTTTCCGTCGTGGAAGGCAGCTGGAGTGAAGCAGTGAAGACCAGGTGGAGTGACACGGCGAGGAATGACTGGGCACCCAGAAAATTCAATAGGATTTTTTGGAAATTCGAGACAGAAAATGCTCCACCAGCCATCGTCAGCTTGGCGGTGAAAGAAAATGATGGAGTCACTGAACCAAGTGGGCCAACCGCCTCTCTCACAAACAACCAAACGGTTATGTGGGTCGGATGCTGGGAAAACAACTATATCCGTTTTGAGCTCGTGAAAATCACCTTTCCAAGAATGAGAACCGTACGATGCAACGGCTACAAATTTCCCAGATTTTGAAATAGCAGGACTGTAGTCAACAACCCCATAAGGAGACAATCGTACAACGTCTCTTTTACCATGGAGCTCGATTGAGTAAAGAGCGGACCAGCTCTTGAAAGGTTGATCAGGCTGTTCATGAGCTGAAATGAAGTAAAGGCGCTGGTTTTTTATGATGGGCCGATCGTGGAAGAGGCTGCTTGGAGCAGATGGGAGCAGCTCGGGCTTGGATAGGCCTGGGCGGGTGAGGTAAATCTGGGGGGAACCCGATCGTTCAGAGATAAAGACGATAGACTGATCGTCGTTTACAAATTGAGCGTTGAAATTGATGGAACTACCGTCAGACAGGCGGTCTTCGGCGGTGGAATTGGTGATGGGAGTTTGGTTGAGTTTGACGGTGAAGATGTCGAAGCCGTACTGTGGCCTCCCGACGGAGGTGAAAATGATGGTGCCCTTAGGGTCCATTGAACTAGGCGTGGGACCACTGAGACCGTGCGCGTAGGAGTGAGGCTGTGACTTGAGAGAGTGTTCGAAGTCTTCGCTTTTAGGAAGCAGCTGCGACCGAAAAATCGTTGGCTGAATAAGGAAGAGGGTTAAGGTGCACGGTTTGCGTAAGAGATGACGTAGCATTGTGTTTATCCCTTATCCTTCGGCCTTGTGATTGATGACGGTTTTCTTGTTCAAAGTAATTTGTAAGATGTTATGCTAACGCCAGTAATGACGACACCTGTTTTTTTTTTTATGAGAATTGGAACAAAATGCACCAGCCAAAATGAAATATCAATATTAAAGCTGCTTGGATTTTGTTTTCCTTTATATTTTGTATTTTATCTCAAAATTTTAGATGATGACAATGAAAGAATTTCCATATGTGGTGGTTTTTACATTTCTTGAACAAAAAATTTCAGCCAAGTTTTACCCATAGTCTGGCTGATTTGAAGAGATTAAATACTTTTTATAGTTTTCAAATACCAAGGCATAAAGGGCATGTAGCTTAAATAGTAGAGCTTAACTCCACCTTGGTGGTTTTTGTACCTCATTCTATAATTGCTGAGCAGATGAGAGAGACGTAATCAGATACTGCTCAACGTGAATATACTAATCGGCTACCTAAACCTCACTTTCACAGATTAACAAGAAGAAAATGGAAGGCTTTTTGAATAGATCACAAATTCTAAAGCATATTCTCAAAAAAAAAAAAAAAAAGAAGGCATGCTAAACATTATAAAGTCGGTACAACAATAAATTTAAACAAAATTTCTGGTTTTAGTTATAGAACGGGGATAATAGAAAAAGGGAAGAAAGCCATGGCATCCTAGAAATGAATGACATTTCTTGCAACTAATAAATGGTTTTCTGGAGAGATGGTTGATGGCACATACTTGACAAGCTGAGTTTCGAGTCCATGTTCCTTGACCCACATCAACCTTCCCATATCAATTATCTGCTTGCACATAAAACCTAACTTTGCTCTGTCAATAGCTTTCATATTCCTTGCAATGCTTTCGACTCTGTTTGCATCCCCAGTACATTCTTCCTTTTCACTGCCCACAAGGGAAAATGAATGCCTTTTAGATAAAAGAAAATTTTGAAAAATGGTCAAAATGCCATTTTTTTTTTGAGAATCCTAAATGATATGGAGGTAGAAACACGTCCACAACCAAATTCCAAAGAAATGACAAAAAAGAAAACTGCTATATAAATAAAGGTTTGTCCCAATTACATTGATTCTGGATGCAATTTGAAATCACTAACATCAGAAAGATCTGAACCATGATCAGCATCCACTGCCCAGCTAGTAAACCACGTCATTGCATGGAATTCTTCCTTAGTAATTCCCAATCTCGTTAAGTATTTTTTATCTGTAGGGACACCCACGTTAAACAGTCAGACTTGAAGAGAAAGATATTTATCAATTTAACTATAGATGTTATATTGGTGTAAGGAAGACAAGTTGGATTACTTATGTAGTGTTTCCATTGGCAAAGATGATGGCAGCATGTTGCTATGGCAAGACCTCTCAGGTAACAATTACCTCCACATCGCTCAACATTCCTTTGATTTGCCAGGCAACATCTGAGTGTCAAGTCTGCAATGAAAAGTTTCAACAAAATGAAAGATTGTAAAGAATGCTTTGTGCTGGTATAGTTTTTACTTGGATCAAATACAACAATCAATATGAGGCTCACAGTCAAGTTTATAAGAAATTACAGATACAACTTACCCGTTGCAGTGCCACAAAGATGTTTACCAATAGCTATATAAGGAAGTCCTTGCAATGGCTGAACAGCATTCAAGTTCAGATCCTCGACTGCAGAAGTAAAACTTTGTGATGTGAAGACAAAGTGAAGGGTAGGGAAGATAAGACACTTAAAATATTGCAGCTTTGTATAAAAAACAATCTTGCCTTATCCCTACTTTTCATTTTCGAAAGTCGGAATGATAGGTCTCAGATAGAGTGAAACAGCAAATGCCTCTCACAAATTTTTAAGAGGGGAAGCCAAAGCACAAAAATTTAACATTTTTATCTTCTACAAGCATAACACATCACATAACTCATCAAAAAGCTTCAGAATAATGATTGCAAAGTAAAAAAAAAAAAATCATAAAAATAATTAGTCATCTAGAAAAAAAAAAAACATTTAGCAAAAGAAAGCCAAGAAAAGAAGCATTGGAAATCCAATGAAGAAGTTACAAAAATCATCTCCAAGAACAAAGTTCTGAAAAACCTTACTGTCAATTCTCAAACGCTCTAATATCAAGCTCTCTTTCTGTCGCAAAGACCGATCAGCCTAGAAATACCATTGGTATAATGTAACCAATAAAAGCAAATGACGAATCAATGAAGGTTCAAAGAGCTTAGAAACACATCGAGATTAGATGGCTTGAACCTAAACTATATAAAAACTCCGCAAATACTACACGTTTAATCTCAATTCAACTAACCTTCAGCTTGTAGGACTTCCTCTCAACTAGAAATACCCTTCTAATACCATAGCAATCTGCAAGCATTTGTGTCAAGTATCCTCTCCCTGCTCCAAACTCAACCACTGCAGGAAAAACATTGCTACTTTGAGCTAGCTCCCCAAATTCACAATGTTCCTTGCCAACAGAATTTTCCAAAACCCCAAATTCTTCCAAGTTTCCAAGAATTGACGCCTGTTGTGTAACATGCTTCTCTTGAAATGGTAATTTCCTATCAAGAATCAACTCATGTTAAAATCCAGTCAATTCCCTCATAAAACAACCGGAGCAATTGAGCTTACAGTACCTGTCTACTTCTCTCTTCATCCACATGCCGCAAGCTTCAGGTATCTTAAAGGAGTCTTTAATATCCTTACAAATTTGAGCATGAACTGACTCCATCTTTCTAATCAGTTCAAAGAATTCTGGTATGTTCAAGTTATAAACAGCATTTCTTTTCATTTCAGAGGTAACATTATCGAAAGACCCTGAAGTGGGTATTAAGGTTTCCTGTTCTTCTTGTTCATCTTCTTTGCCAGCATTAATACCCTTTTGGTAGAAAGGTTGGGTGCTCAAAGATTGAACTTGTTTAAGTAAAGGGCATCTCTTTAGGTGTCCTTCCAGGTTTTCCTGAAGCACAGAGCTATAAAAAAAAGCCAAAAAAATACGTTAAAAGTTTTTTTTTTTTTTCCAGTGGAATTAGAAAGCAAAGGCTTGAGAGAGAGAGGACAACTGTGAAGGGTCAATCGGACATGGGATCCACTGGTCATTTTTCCTTGGAGTGTGATTGCCACAAAACCTTGAAACAGTTTGATTGTAAATAAAAAAAATTCTGAGAAATTCAGAGATTCAACAAAAGAAAAGAAAGAGGAAGAGAGAGGGAGAAAGAGATTAACTTACAAGGAATTGTTGAGAGGGGCGTTTGCACAAAATCTGTTCTTTTTGGGAAGCCAGAATTTGCAGCGATTCTCCATTTATTTTTACTGAATCATGTTCAATCTACCACTTTGAGCCCTAGTGCCAGTGCCAGCGCCAGCGCAAGTGCTTTGTTTTTGTTTTATTTTTATTTTTCTTTGCCATTTTGTTTCGAATGCTTCTATTTTTTGCGTAGAATATTACCCCATTCAATTTCCCAGGCAAATACCATAGTCGTAATTGGGCCACGTCTAATTCTTTTGCCTTGACAAATTTTTTTATAATTGCATTTGGGCCTCCTTATATCGGGCCAAGTAGCATGACCAATAACCCAATTAGTAGTCACCAGAAGCTCAAAGCCCAAACATGTATGGGCAATTACGTACTTTCAAGCCCCAACCAACTCCCACAAAAACCCTAACTCCATCCTCTCCTTTGAAAATCAACACTCATCTCCTAGTCTTGAAACCCTAGCGGAAACCACCCATTTCCTCTGCATCTCCAGACAAGACCCAAGATGCAGATCTTCGTCAAAACCCTAACGGGGAAGACAATAACCCTAGAGGTCGAGTCTTCCGATACAATCGACAATGTCAAAGCCAAGATCCAAGACAAGGAAGGCATCCCACCCGATCAACAGCGCCTCATCTTCGCCGGCAAGCAGCTCGAAGACGGTCGCACCTTAGCCGACTACAACATCCAGAAGGAATCCACTCTCCACCTCGTCCTCCGTCTAAGGGGTGGCGCCAAGAAGAGGAAGAAGAAGACCTACACCAAGCCCAAGAAGATCAAGCACAAGAAGAAGAAGGTCAAGCTCGCCGTGCTCCAGTTCTACAAGGTGGATGAGTCGGGGAAGGTTCAGAGGCTGAGGAAAGAGTGCCCTAATGCGGAGTGTGGGGCGGGGACTTTCATGGCTAACCATTTTGATAGGCACTATTGCGGTAAGTGTGGGCTCACTTATGTTTACCAGAAGGCTGGTGGGGATTGAGTTGGGTTCGACCTTTGGTTCAGCTCTTGCAAAACTTGGATCTATATGTTTTACAGTATGAGTATTAGGGTTTAATTTTCAATAATCGTTGGACTTTTTAAAATTTTGTTATGTTTTAATATGTTATAATACTTCGGATATGATTTTGGAGTTTTGATTACCAATTTACTTGTTTGAATCAAATTATGCTGTTTTCTACTTAATGTCGTTTGGTTGATGATTTGATTTAGTTCTTTTATATGTTTATATCTTTTGTATGTTACTTTGTTCTCTAGTGAATTGGTGTTATGCTTGAAATTTGGATTGAAGCTCTTTCTTTGGGACAAGGCTGGTGCTTGCTTTATATGCCAGACATGTTTTGAATTTTAGACCCTTGTACTACAGAGCTGAGTGGATCCCTGAGCATTGAATTATGGATAGGGTCAAGAGACTTTTGTCTTGTCTGATAAAAATTAGATCATGGAAAAAATGGCTAGTTTTCTGTATCACTTGGAGCTGTCACCTCTGAAGTTATGGTTGTGTTCATCTTCCTTTTATAGTTTTGATCTAATTCGCTTAGAATTTAGAAACTCTGCATTGCATTAGACCTGAGTCTCTATGTTTGCTTGTTAACTCACTCTCTCTCACCCTCCTACTGTTTTGGAATCTGTTTCCAGTGTTATAAGTTATAGGTCTATTGAAGATACTTCTCATTGCATATTGGTGGATACAATTTTTAGGATTTATGATATGATTTGTGGTCTGTTTGGATTTAATATGCAAAGCATATGATGTGTCAAGGTAAAACTGGGTAATATTGTACAAGAAATATTCCACCCTATAAGTTTTGAAGCCCTGCAATGTACACTTGTTGCTGAATGCCAAATGCCTTGCTGGAGATTATGGAATAATAGATAATAGTACCATTTATAGTGTAACATTTTTTCCCTATAGGAAAATGGAATTTCAGAGCCCTTCTTCTTTATGTCATTGTATGTTAATGACGGGAGTGTTAAAGAGAGCGAAACTGGTTGGCGGAGTTGATGTTTCCCTTCTTTCATATCTGGTTTTCTATCATCCTTTCGAGTTTCAACTTTCACAAGTGGAATTGGGATCCACATCTCAATGAAATTTATAATTTTAAGGCTTGAAACACATAAGGATCAGAGCATTAGATGCAATATAATGTTTTATCCTGCCTATGCCCATATGCCATAGATCAATAAGCTTTAATGGTCTTCTCATGACAAGAGTAATCAGTATTAATTGGCCCAAAACAGTCTGAATGATAGTAGGCAAGCATCGGTGGTGAGACGTTTTTTTGTCTCTGATCTTCTCGATTTAATAGTAAAGGATGGAAGTAGATTTTATGCTTAATGAAGGAAATAATTGAGGATGAAAATTTATTATTATTCCGATGATAATTTGTTTATACATTATTGATTTTTGTATTGAATTCTATCATTTTATGTTAAAGATTTTATTAAATTTTTTTTAAAAAAATTTTCACAAACTTTAATCTAAATAATTTTACGTAAGCCTTCGTGATTCTTTGTTGCTAGTAGGCAGTGTAAGTTTTCCTTCTATCCATTGACATCCAAACAAGAAAAATGGTTTGCGCTTTCTTACCTATGCATAGTTATTCTATAAATTTTCAACTTTTCTACCATTCGCAGGAAGCAAACAGATAGTAAACCCATGTAAAAGTAAAGGGAATGCATGGAAAACATATCAGATAAACCCCCAAAAAAAAAATGAGGATATAAATTGATTTCGGTACAAATGCTTGAAGTACATTTCAAAGTGTTGAACATGCAACAAAGTTGTATATAAACCACAATCTGTAGAGGAAGCAATATCCCCATCTTCATCTACACAACCATACAATCAAAATAAAATTTACCACATTCCAAAGTAGTGGATTTGAAACTTGAAAGAAAGAAACTAGTATGACCTCACAAAAGCATGAGGGAACAATCCTGGAAGGATGGAGTTTTTTGCTTTTACAATCAGTGCAAATATTCCGTAGCAGGGGATATGAACCACAGCCAGGGCAAAGTACCTGTACAATGGATTTTGCATTCATTATATTAACAATTTTGAGTAAAATTGGATGGAAATAATTGATGTCATCCACATACCATAAAGGAGCCCATGGCGTATCAAGCTCCAGGAAAGGATATGGCCACCTACGAAAGTACCAGTACAATTTTACTAGTTGTTAGAGAAATAGGAGGCCTATTTATCTAACCTACAGGCTAATTGAAAGAAAAAAAAAACAAGTGTACTTACCATGTAAAACCACAGGCATGAAGAACCCACTGGAAAACAACATACAAGCAGCTCCACTGAACAAAATATGCAAGACGGAACCAAGGAAATGGCTGAGACAAAGAGGAGATTTAATTAATACTGTACAACCTTTGGAGTGTGGAAGCAGTAAATGATAAAGGAAATCCAGAAATTCTCTGTTCCCTTCGCTCTTACTTAATCTTTTTTCCCCTTTTTTTCCTCTTCCAAGTTCCCTATCTCGAATTATTTAAAGATATTCCACATTATGGCTTTGAGTACTTATGGAAGATTATGAATTTATTGTAGAAATTAACAGTAATCAAGAAAAGGATTTCCACTTCGGAGTGGCGCAATACTTACAAGGCTATTGAGAAGAGTATCCAGTATAAGAAAAACAGCATTCAGAGTGTGCATGCAACCCATTAACTGTCATGAAGAAATAAACAGAAATAAGTGAATATTCTAGTAATTCACCACTTTAGGATTACATAGCCTCTATTGCTTAGAAGTTTGCAAATTAAATTTATCCGCAAGCATAACTCTTGCTTATCTATTGATAGTTTCTTTAAAATCTCTGTGAAATTAAGGAGACGTGGTCTTTGGAAAAAAAATCACTCTAAGATGAGATGATTATAAGCATATGAACCACAGGTTGAATCCATATTTGCATTCATAAAAAAATTTATAGTGATAATGTTTCATATATAAACAAAAGCAAGACTAAGGAAGGTTGTTAGAAAGAAAATGGTAGGATAATATGCATGATGGTATCAGTCACATAGAATAGAGCAGCAGTCTATAAGGAATCACAATATCCAACATTTCGGGTAGCAAAATAAGTAGTAAGAAACAGTTTGGTTTTCTACCATCTAACAATCCTTTGTGACAATTAAGTGTTTCATCAGAAAAATTTATTTGAGGAACTTTACAGAGAATATTAATCAATAAAACATTGTCCAAGTAAACTTTGTATGCTTCCTAGAAGAGTGATAGTCTTTTTTCTAGTTCTCTTGTGTAAGAATAGTAAACTCTGATGATAATACAGCTATAGAAGAATGCATGGAGCATTTTGGACTAAGCCCAGTCATAAATTCATCTTTCAACAAGCTAGGAGGAATGGAATAAACAAAGTAGAAACCAAAAACCTTGCAATCAAATTATGACTTTTCCATAAATGTCGCATAGTTAGTTTATATGAAGTTAAATCTCACCGTGTTCAGTCCAAGGTGTGAGTTTGATAAAAACGGGACTATAACACACCAAAATACGATGTCCGTCAAGATGACAGCACCTCCACAAGTCTGCAATGAAGCACAAGTAATCAGTTGTCTGCAGGGAAAGAAAGACACTAGTCCATACCAAAGGTATCATCAAGGCTCAAACCATTTGCCTTAAAGCATGATGTACAGAACGCTTAATATGGCTGTGGTATTCTGTCTTGGATCAGTGTTGTTTTGAAGTTTTGAGTAATCACTTTGTAAACATGAAAGGAATAAAGATCATATTAAAACAAAAGTCATTGAAGTGTTATCTGGTCTCGGAAGAGTCACGAAATTTTGATATCTTCATGGCTGACCTGATATATAGTTTGCATAAGATATCCCCAAAATCCTGCTCTTTGCTGAAACTCCTCCTGAGCATAGTGACTCTGCAACTTGATTTTACCCTTGACATCTTTTTCCTGATAAGTTACAGAGTTTGCAGTTGTACTCTCTTCAACATCCCTTTTCAGAAACTCATCCCTTGCATCATTTTCAGGAAGAGGTGTGCTTAAGCACACCCAACATCCATAAGCAGATATGACAGTCCCCAGCTACACAGTGAAAGGCGTATGTTAAGAAGGAACTACTGTAATAAAGTTTTAGCGAACAAAGAAAAAAGCATGTAATATAATTTAGTAGAATTGAAATCACATATTTGCATCAGTGAACACATCAAATAGAGGTTGCAGAAGGAAATTTATTTTAAAAAATGGACACTATAATAAAAGGATATTATTACTAGGAAAAGATAATCGGAGAAATGGGATTTAAGTTCTTTACATACCGCAAAATAGACCATAACCAACGCAAATGTCCACCTGCAGATTTGTTGCTTCACCAGATTAGTTATAAGAAACGCTCATTTCTTGAAGAAAGAAAATGGGATTTAAAATTCTCAAAAAAAAAAAAAAGATATAGTAAAATTCTGTCGGTCAAAAAATGTTCAACATAGGACGAAGGAGAAGCCTTCAAAGTGTTAATGTAACAAAAAAACAAATATAACAGCAACTTGTGACCATTAATTAGTTTTCTTTTCCTTCTATCTTCTTATAAAGTAGTAAGTATAGTAAGTAAAGATTGAAGTATGGAAACATAAACATGAAGTAAAGTTTGGGTGTGATCTTACTGAGTGTAGAAATAGAAAGCAAAAGCTCCCTCCAGGGAAACAACCTCCCAAAATATCCAAGCCAAGCATATAAAAGCGAAAGCTCTATAACATAGAAGCCACCAGGGATTAAGGTTTCTCCACTGTGGCTTCCAAAAATCATTGAAAACTAATGGGTCTGCTTTAACTTTCTTGATGACATAAGAAGCTAAAACAGATGGGCCTACGATGATTAATGCACATACAGGAACTTGCCATCTAAGCCAGTACCCCAAACCTTCATCGATCGAATTCGACATTTCTCATTGAGGAAAGGAAAGAATTGGGACTTGGAAAAAGGTTAGGAATATGAGAAAAGAAATGGAGTTGGTAATCAGAGCTTTCCCAGTTTTCCTCTCTCAGGCAAGGAAGATTAGTTGCTTTGTTGACGGTAGTTGTTATAGAAGTTGACTTGGGTAAGCTCTGAATTTAGCCGGGCTTTGCAGCTTGTTTTAACAAGAAGTCAATCGAGGCCCAGTTCACTTCATTCAGACTATCTCCCCCATGGACATGGACCTTATGAAAGGAAAATATTAAATATAGAACTGGCTTTTGGCATGATTTTCAATTTTTTCATACTTATTGTTAAAGTTAGAATTTCTAAGATTTAATTTAATTTAATTGATTTTATATAATTATTTTTAAATTTTAATATTCTGACAGGTTTAAAATTTAAATCTTAATATTTATTATTTTTTTCCTTTTAAATTACGATTTCCTTTATACCTAAAAAAAATAAGACTTTCAGTTGTTTACTAAGAGGTCCAACCTCAGATAATAACCATTAGTTTCGAGGTAATTGCTTGTTAATTAATCTATGGCGAGAAACCCCCTTTCTATATTAAGCTACAATTTAAAAAGTTTCCGTGTGATCTAATCAATTAACCTCGAATTTTGCAGACATAATTTAACTTCACTAATATTGATGACTGTAAGGCACCAAATGTATATAATCAACAGAAGAAACTTACTCGGTGTAGTAAACAAAGATGGAAGCATCCCATTCGACTATGTCCCACGTCAAGAATCCGGCCATGGCTGCAAATGAAACAAAGCGAGTCACCATAAGCCATCCGGGGTGCACTCCATTCCAGCAACTGGTCCATAGCTGGTTTGAGCCAACATGAGCCCTTGGTGTGGCACGTACGAAGCCATCGACATCCGGTCGAGCCGCTAACAGACTCTCATATACGCTGTCCTCCTCGCATCTACATGCAGCTTCTTTTCTCCATAGAACCCATATGGACCCAATAAAGGCGGCCACCACAATTCCAAAACAGATGAAATCGTACCAATATACTACTAGGGCCATGGTTAGACTGAGGCTGTTCGATCAGTTTCTTGCCCTTTTGCAATGAAGACAATTGATGTTAAAGTTTCAGGGAAGAAGTTTATCTAACGATCGTCATTGGTGAAGCTGTGGAAGACTACAACTTTCTTTAGTTTAGTGGAGATCTAGCTGTTGGTTTTGAAACGAGGAATGGTAGTTTTGACTGTCTGGTTTGAATCACATAACTTTCAAAAACAATGAATAGCTCAATTTGACAATCAAGGGGAATATGGTCGGTAAAAAAAATGCTAAAATACAGGGAAAATTCCAAATAGGGTTCGTACTTCTGACACTTAGTCCATCTGTTTCTGATGATCTAATGTTCTTGGTGCCGGCCGATTTTATCCAATTATAGTCTATTACATTTGAGCTAATCAGATTTGTAACTAAACATCCACTTGCCCAATGACACCATCTTTAAAGAAATTATATCAGTAAAGTCCACTGAATTGAAGCCTTAAAGTTGAGTTGATCCTAGGGCGCCACATTAGCTAGAAATTAAAACTCTATTCCCGAGGGAGAAACTAACATTTTATTTCTCCGGTGAATTTGCTCCTGTTATTAATGCATATTTTTCAGTGTCAGTATCTATTTTTTATCAACAAATCATCATGTGTGTCTGATTGCTACACTGTACTTTGGATGCACATTGATATTTTATGCGAGATTGGGTTGAAAATTTGGAATAAACTTCTGCTGCTAATCTTAGCTTGAATTAACACGTCTCCTCCTAGACTACAGGTTGACTGATTATTTTTAATAGTATGAACTTAATTCATGGCAAAAAACAGTAAAGAAACATATTGTGATACCGACTATTATGGAACTATGCTTTGTTGTTACAATAACCTTGCTCTTGTGGATCGATTAATTTCTGATAGTAGATGTATAGAGAGAGAAATTATAACATTAGGGTATGGCATTTTTTATCGGTCAATCAGTCAAATCACTGAAGCAGAACAATAGGAGCTTTGTATTATTTGAGCAGCCAACGAAGCAGCATAAAAAAAGCGCTGGCCAGGGTTACAGCAAAAATGAGCAGAGGAAAATTATTTGGAAACCAACTAAGAGTTTTTTCTTTTCTAGTTGTTTACCCCATATATTCTTGTTGTCACCAAATTAATGTGCCAAGTTTCTTTGGCTTCAGCTTCAAGTTTCAGTCATCCTTTCTGGCACTAAACTGTTGATTATTGATTTATTGTCTCAATTGGCCTTAATTTGCTAGCTCCATGACTCAGTACTTGAATCCTCCCACGTTTTTACTTAAATAGTAAAAAAATTCAGCAACTAGGGATGATTCAAAGTTCATAATTTCTTGCTTCTTCAAAACAGGAAAATAAAATTATTGTTTGTCTTCTTGATTTATTTTTGAGTAGGAAAAGAAAGTAAATTAAATTCAAGAATAGAAAGAGTTTATATGTGGTCATTTGATGAATATTGTCTTTTACCACGAAACACAGTGCTGAAAATCAGAAAAAGGAACAAGGGAACAGTTGAGATATTGCCAGACAAGACTGATGAACTTGGAAAGTAGAAAATAGAAAAAAAAAAAATGGCATTGCTGATTATAAGGAAAGTGCACATGGAATGTGCTGGTAACAAGGTTTGACTTGCAAAAAAAAACTTTGCTGATTAAATTTTACAGAAAAGCAGAATTAAATGCCAATTGCCAATCTATATTAAGTATTGGCTTCTACACAGTGACAAACCTTAATTTAAAAGTGTTGAAAAACTGTGATTAACCACTGAAAAGCCTCCATCAACTGCCAAGTTTTGCCCGCTAATGTAAGCAGATTCATCGGAAGCAAGAAACAATACGGCCTCTGCAATGTGCCTGGCCTTCAATACTACACCTTTCAAGTTACTTACGGAACAACTATTGGCCTCTACTTTACTTGGTTCCCAATTGTAAGCTTTACAAGCAAGAGGCGTAGCAACTCCATATGGAGAAACGCAATTGACTCTGATCCCGTAAGCCCCTAGCTCACTACAAGTTCCTCGGACAAGGCCTACAATAGCATGTTTCGATGTAGTATAACCATGCGGACCAATTCCTCCTACAGAAGATGATACACTTGCAGTGCATATGATGGAACCACGTATATTTTTAGCCACCATAACACGAGCAGCATGCTTGATAGTGGCAGCAACGCCGCGAACATTTGTGGCCATGGTGTTGTCGAAGCCATCCATGTCAAGTTCTAAGATTCCGGTTAATGGTCCTAGGATACCAGCATTGCTGAACAAAATGTCCAGCTTTCCATATTTCTTCACCGTGTAACTCACTGTTTCCTCAACCTGCTTCTCATCTCTTACATCGCAGTGGTGGTAACTAACCTTGTCTAGGCCTATTGATGCAGCAACTTGATTCCCAAGATCATCCTGGACATCAGCAATAACGACAATAGCCCCATGTTCTACAAATAACCTCACTGTCTCTTCACCAATCCCGCTGGCTGCACCTGTGATAAGAGCTACCTTACCTTCCAACCTAGAAAATCTCATACATAGAAAATATTGTCCCTCTATAAATACATTAGCAGCAATGGAGAAAACAATCAAGAGTTGGGAATTTTTTTGAGATGCAATCAGTCAATCACAGGAGAAAGATTGTCAATTAGCACAGGCAGATCTAACTGGCAACTGCAAAGTATTAAATAAAGATAAACATACCTTGGCTTAGACATCTGATAAGTCTCTTAGTGAGCCAGCTCAAACTTCCAAATAAGGCCCTCGGATCTGCTTTTTCCTGACCTCGTGATCTTGCCTATTTATAGGATGTCCCAGGCTGCAGAGCATAAGAAAGCACAAAACTTCATCAACCGTTCATTTTATGTCAACTGTATATCTCTATAATTTTGGGTTAACTATATAATTTATATATTTCAGACTTTCTCTATAGTCTATACGGCTTGTGTCCATGCAAATTCACTGTCTACATGTTACGGAATTTTATGCATTTTTTTAGATTAAATTGCAACCAGCCAATAGCTTATTACAACCAGGGTAGCATCCTCACATGATTGCATTAAAACCATTGCTTATGATTCTTGTCTTCACAACTGTTGCTGGATATATAGCTAGCAAGCCATCATGTAGATTTGATAATTTAAAACAAGATACAGTGATACGATATAAAAATGATACGAAAATAATACGAATTAAAATTTTAAAAAAATCATAAATATATTTAATAAAATCAAAAAATTATATTTTATATTTTCGTATCGATATGAATTATGATACACAATTTTTATGTAAGACATGATAAAAATATAATATTTTATATGATACGATAATACAAATTATTAGATCTACCACAAAGTTAACAATTTTTAGTAGATAATTAATTACTAGGAATTTTATGGGCATAACTTCCAATTTTGTACTATCTGTTTTTCCTACACCTGAATTATTTATAATATAAGATGTTATAATTATAATAATAAAAAAATGCATTTGTGAAGCATAATTTGATTAATCTTCAATTGATTATCATTTAAAGTATTATATATGTAACTAAAAAGATGTATTTTTATAAAAATTACTAAAACAAAATTTCTCTTATAGAAAATAATATATTATAACCAATTAAAATTATTTAACATTTTGATTGATTGATACTTTTTTATTTTGTATTTTCCTATTATTTTTTACTTTTACAAAAAATAATAATAAAATAGCAAAAGTATCAACCGAATGAAACTTAATGAATTCTGAGATTATAGAGGTAAAAAAATAAAATGCACATGAATTTTGCATTTATCTTTTTCTATAATCAATAATTACTCATTTAGTTAAGTATGTAAATATATATATATATATGAGAAAGTATACACTTACACTATTATAATTCTTACATTTTTATAGATCATTTGATAAAAATTACTAAATTTAAAATTATTATTTTGATTCAAACTAGTTATGAAATTAATTTTGATCCAAAGTTCAGCAGCAACAATAGCTCAGTTTGTTTAGTAACAAAGCAAGCGAAAGCACTAAACTCAACTTCACGTACACATATAAATATATATATATATATATGAGTAATAATACATTTACACTAATATAATTCTTATATTTTTTAAGATTTTTGGATTAAAATTAAATTTATAATCATCTAAATGAAAATAATATTTTTAAATTTAATAATTTTGATCCAAAGATAAAAAAATAAATAAAAATTTCACTAGTATAAGTGAATCTTTAAAAAAATAACAACTTAACTAATATATTTTTTAAATCTTTTAATTTACCCTTATCCCTTAACTTAATATTTATCTGATTAAAAAAAATTACATACCAATTTTTTTTTTTTTTACCTATAACTTTCAAACATCAACTTTAAAAACATGCCAATTAATTCACAATTTCATCTTTATATGTAGTACGAGTAGAGAAATTAATATTACAACTTACAATACACAAATATTAAAGTATTTGATAGTTTAGTCCTGCCATTACTCATAGTAAATTAATAAAAGGAAAATGTTTAAAAACAAATCATATTTTTTAACTTAAAAAAGTCCTCTCATTACACATTATAAAAAAAATTAATATTATATACACACCTCAAAAAATATATAATATTTTTTTAATTTGAAAAAGTTGCATTATTTACTCCTCAATTTTTAAAATATCCTTAATTCTTAAAAAATATATTTAAAAAGTGTATGCAATAGTTTTCATAAATAAATAATTAAATTATTATTTAGGAAATAACATTACTCATACTCACATGTCCCTTCTAAATAATAAGTTGCTAAATGATTGTTTAATTATATTCTATTATTATTGAGAGAAAGATCGTATGATAATTTATTACATGAGTATATATTATTTTTATTTAAATTATATTGCATATTTATATTATTAAAAAATATTTATAATTTATTATTTATCATATATAATAATTAAATGATAAATATTTATTTTAATAAATTAATTAAATATTTTAATAATAAATAATTTATTATTTAATAATGCAATAAAATAGATGATTGATATAATTTAAATGAAAATGAAAAATACTAAGTCACTAAGCGTTAAGTCCAAACCTTTCAATTGTTTTTAATATTGGTAGTCGGACTGTTGGGCTCGCATTTCACGTTTTCCTTCCCTTCCGTAAAAAGCGTGGCAAATGGGGACCACATCCAATCAAACTCTATTGCCTATTGGTCCGTTTTGCTATAAAATATTTCCTCTCATGTCACTCCAGCATTCCATCTTTACAAAAATAAAATTACATTATACTGAGGAGAAAATTTTGGTGCTGGCCGCGCATGTGGATTTTCGTGTCCAGTCGCCTTTTATCTTTCTCCCTTTTCTAACTTTTGTTTTCTGCAACAAATTTGGAGCAATGTCTTCAGCTGCAATTTCCTTCATTTCAAGCCCAAACTCTCTCACCCTCTGCAGAGATGCAATGCTTTTTAACTCCATAACCAGTTGCAGTTGCAGAGTCTCTCCTTTGAAACCACCGTCTTTTGGCAGTATCTTCATCAAAATCCCTTATGGGTCCTTTAAGAAGGCTTCCTTTTTCACTTCCTCCAGGCCCTTTTCTCCTGTCATGGAATGGCAGGATTGCACGTAAGTTTTGAAATCTTCCCTTCTCTTCTTTCTATTGACAACAACAAATGTGTTGACTGAAAATTTTTGTGTAACTGGATTCAGGGCAAAAATGGAAATCGATGTGCCTGCCTCAGTGGCTTACAAATGTTACTCTGATCGTGAAGCAATTCCCAATTGGATGCCATTTATTTCATCTGTCAAGGTTAGTATATGTAGTCAATATGCTATGAGGGTCGATCCATGTTTTATTCTTAAATGTTCTAATAATTGTATGACAGACGGTGATAATTTCATTGGAGAGTTTGATGTTTGATTCTTCGTTTTTCAATTAGGTATTAGAAGACAAGCCTGACTTGTCACGGTGGTCGTTGAAATATAAAGCATTTGGTCGTGATCTTGAATACTCTTGGCTTGCTAGAAATATGCAAGTAAGGATCATGGCATTGCTTTCTTCTTCTTTTTGACCCTCTGTTGGTTATTCATGAATCATTATCCTTTCAATTGATAAAATTTTCTACAAATTTCGATTCAACTGATCTTTATTTGCTTTTGCAGCCCATCCCAAATCAGAAAATTCATTGGAGATCTCTGGAAGGACTTCCTAACAGGCAAGCAGAAAAGAACCCTTTAAAAGAAATTGTCATTTACTCATTGAAGCAAACAGGAATAGCCAAAATTGCATCTTCTTTAGGACAGTTTGCGAGTTTACTTTTGCTCTGTCTTGTCTCACAGCCAAAGCTTTATAAAACTAACCGTATGCCATCACTTGAGATTGTTGGGGGAACTCTTCCATATCTATTAAGGCTATATATTGCAAAATTGGGTGTTGACTTGAGACTGTGTAGCATTAGAAAACAAATTATTAGTTTTTAAGGTGCTGCTTATTCGTGAAATATGATGGAACTGATGCATAGGAAATATGAAAGATGATCTTTGGAAGCGTTGAAGAAAAAGATGTAGATTCTTGCTATTATAGAATTTTTTACGTCACTAGAATAGAAATGATGCATAGGAAATATGAAAGATGATCTTTGGAAGCGTTAAAGAAAAAGATGTAGATTCTTGCTATTATAGAATTTTTTATGCCACTAGGATAGAATTTTGGTAGTTTATAAATCTGCGACCTTCTACATGAGTCATAAAGTTATATTACTGTAGAATTTCCTTGTCAATTTGCGCTTGTTCTTCCTTCAAGTATGCTCTGAAACACAAGTAACCAAAACATGGGAGAATGGCTGAATGCAACTTTTCATAACCGTCATCAAGGTTTATCCGCTTAAGCTTTATCACTTCCAGGTTATTTTTAGCGCATTCATTTTTACTGACAACATTTTCTGTTTTACATGTAACATGACTATGTCGAGTATTGTTTGTGCTTGACCCAACAGTTCCTTTAGTTTCATTTCATGTAATGAAAAACTTGGATCATTTCATTATTTCTACACTATTTCATTCCTCTAAGTAAACCTTTTCATCATTTGTCTCATCCTGAGGGTAGAATCTTAACAAACTGATTTTTTACATGCCAGGGGTGCTGTTCGATTTTATCCAAAAGGTCCCTCATCATGCCTTATAGAAGTGAGATTGCTCTACACAACATTTTGAGTTGATGCTTTTCTGCTTTATTGCTGTTGCTTCCTTGAAAGTTATGAACTTTATTATATCAAATTTTCTTCCTTATTACCAACAGTTAGATTAATCTCTGAGCATATGCAGCCTCTTTGATTGATGTTACAGTTTTGTGACCAGTATGATAAATAGCCATAGCCACTTATAAAACAGAGGCTTTATCTTTTACATAATGCCATAATGGCATGATGATAGTTAGTTGGATAGAAAAAAATTAAATCATAAATGTAAAAAATGTTCCTAGCAGTGTCCAACACTTTATGCTACAGCCTTACGAGAGAAATCAGGGAAGCCATAGAATAGAGAGCTAATAAGTTTATGTTGGCCTTCACTTCAAATTGTGTTCACTTGTTGCAATTCTTCTTTCCAGCTAACAGTTTCATATGAAGTTCCTCAACTTTTGACTCCTGTGGCAGCCGTAAGTATTCTTGCCATGATAAAAGTATTCCTCAAATTTCTTACCTTGGGAAAAAATATAAAGTACTACAAATATTTAACTTGATTGTAGTTAAAAATTAATGCTGCGTTTAGTTTTTTCTCTGAGAAATCATTCTTCACATTTGAGCTAACATTCCACATTTCCTCTGTTAATTTATTCAGGTACTTCAACCTTTCCTTGAAAATTTACTCAAACGTGGTTTGGATCGGTTTGCAATATTTGCTCAAAGCTCAGGCTCAACAAGATAATCATCTCACTGGTTGATCCGACCTTGGGCTAATAATTCCACTGATTCTTTGATGTGAATGTTTCTCCCAATAAATAAAATTGTCCTATGCTCAATTGCAATATGAATTGTGTTGGATAATGAAAGGACTGGTACATAATTTTCACTATTCTCTTATCAATTTATCCTGCTTTAGATTATGATATTTTAACTTAGTAGGCAAGTATTTGTTGTAAATGCATTTTTTTTTGTGGGATTGGAATGTGATTTGAATAAGCGCATCAATTATTTATTCATGAGGTCTGCTGTGTTGACCTGCAAAACCCTTGATAATAACAGATTTCACATGTTAACCTGTAATAAACCGGATATGTTGGTATTCGTGGTTTTAGGCGATTCTTGCTTTTCTCACTCTCCTTATTGTAGCAACATTTCTGTTTTAAAGTGTGAACTGTAACAAATGAAATAAAGTATACTACACTGATGTGTACGCAGATTGTGTACTTCGATTTTATAGCAGAATAACTTGTGTTTAGTAGAACGAGATCGTTAACAGCTTACCGGAAACTTACTAATTCAAATGCTCATTCTTATGTACTCATCCCTAGTTAATGTCTTATGCATGTATTTATATGCATTTTGTTTTGGTTTGTAGATGATTTGGGCACGATGGAAACAGTTTTCCATCATCCACGTTCCCCATTAGCAGGGGTGTTCTGGATATGAAGTTATTAGATCTCAAAACAGAATCTGTTGGTCCCAGAGGCACAGAAAAGATCAATGTCCATTTGACATTGAGGAAATCATGTGATCCAATCTGAAAGGTGAGCTTTAGTTGGCATCCTCACCGGTAAATGGTGGAGTTCATATTTTTCTATGTTTTATTCATGGAAACAAATACAGTGGGCGTTTAAAGGTCTTTCAAAGTTTGAGAGAAGTCAGTCATGAAAATACCAAGCGCCATCTACTATTTCTCTGCTTGTGTAGACCATTATTACACGGGTCTTGCTGATTTCCGTTTTGTTGCTGCCCTTTTTCTTTTGGGTTAAATCACCCAATATATTTTGGACAAAACCTATATGAAGATTTTTAAGTAAAAATTGTGAATTTTTTTAAAAATTTATTTAATAAAAAACTTTAATCAATAAATTAATAGAATTCAATGTAAAAATTAATAATATATAAAAAAATATTAAAAATATTATTAATAATTCAAATTTAATTGTACTTCTTTCATCAATAAAAATTTTATCAAAATTTTATTAAAAATATATTATTTAAAAAACTATCAAAATTTATTAAAATTATTTACAATTTTATATATTTGATTTATATAATAAGATATTTTAATTTATTGACTTTGGTTTTTTATTTATGAATTTCACTCAAAAATTTCATATAAATCATTTTCATATTTTGGTGAATGATGTGCAAGCAAATTTTTTTTAATTCTTAATTTATCTTTAAAATTTATCTATTTTTTTATTTATTTGATTGAAAAAGATATTATGTTATACGTTTTTTTAAATTCATAATCTCCAAACATCAATTTTAATAAATATCAACTCAATCATGATTCAATTAGTGTGTTCAAGCAAAACTAAAAGTTTCTACAAAAATAAAGTATTTGTCAATTGCTTAGTTCAGTATATTACGTTTTTCTTTTGAATACAATTCTAAGGAACTAATCAAGAATCGAGGAGTCGAGATGAAAGACGAAAGGGGATATGTTTTCTTGTGGTGCAAAACAAACCACTCAACCAAAAGAAAGACTAAATAAACTAAAATAATCATAACTCCTTGGATTTCTTGCTCGGGAATGACATCAGTTTATTCCAGCCGTACTAACTATTCCCAACACATGCGTAACTTTGCTAGCAGCAATTGGATTGCCCATGTCACCGCTACCAACAACAATCAAACGACAAGTAGTGATCTTAATAACAATCCTTTGTTAATGATACTTGAGCATATTGTCCCTAGCTCAATCTCCCTCGTGAAAGCTACTCATTTATTTGGGGAAGGCATGATGTGACAAAGCTGAACTCAGCGGCCAGCATTAGTTGTTGGAGGAATTGGTTTCAATTTTCAATCCCGCATTGACACTCCAAAATGAAGATCATATAGCCAACGAGCATAGAGATACTCGAGTGATTGTATGATATTTTCTATTTTCCTTTTTACTTGAAAGCAATTGAAGATAAAATAGGACCTGAATACGATACAGGCGTCTCTTGTCATTACTTCCTCACCAAGAAACTCAAAAAACTAACAAAATCTTGATGAACACCGCATAAATATACGAACTTGATTCACCAAAAAATATAATGAACATCTCATGCAATTGCATCAGATATAAGAAAGTTTTTGTCTTAAGCAAAATATACATATAGGATGGTTGTTAGGACAAGAAGAAAGCAAGGGAAACTTCGATATTTATTGAAAATATATATACATACATCGAACGAATGAACAATGAAGTAACAAGGGCAACCACCCTGGATTTTGAGCAAAAGAATCCATAAATGACTTGAGCACACAATAATATATCGGACCATCTCTACACCACCATCCTCTATGTACATCCGCCCATAACCCACCATAAATATACCAAAACCGTCCCCTGCAAAACTGCTAGCTGCTTTTTGTAGCTCTAACTGAAGCAGCCAGAAACAGTATAATATTCCCTATTGAACAACATACTTACAATCACCGATTAGCATTGCCATCCAACAAATTCCTTAAGCTACACAGGGCCTCTGCAGACAGGCTACAACACCTCGATCTTCTTTGCTGAGGAGATGGTTGCTCCCGGTGATCAGGTGCAGAGAAGCATACAACAATCACAGTGACGTTATCAAATGTGTTGCAACGTAAGGCCTCCATGACAAGGTCTCTAGCACACTGCTCAGGGTCATCATGCCGCCGCAACCCTCTGCGAACTAGGCTAACTGCATCCTGACTTGACATAACATCCCAAATCCCATCACACCCAATGATAAGGAACTCATCATCCTCTGTCAGAACGGCTTGTCGAAACTCAGGCTCTGCTATGAGAGGTGAAGAAGAACCCTTCGGTAACTTCATGTCCCAATCCCCCAAGGCTCGAGAAACTGATAGTTCACCGTTAAGATATCCATCATCAATAAACCCGCCCAGCTCCTCTACTCTCCTCCGTTCTGACAGATATATAGGTCTGTGGTCTTCAGACATATCTATTGCCTCCCCTCTTCGACAAAGAACCGCTCGGCAATCACCAGCATTGGCCACCATTAGAAGCCTAAAACATGGAAAACAAGTCAGACAGAGATTTTAAGTTGGAAACAACACTCAAGATAACTCAAGTGAATAAATGGCAATCAAGGCTATAAAGCATCAAGATACCTTCCAAATATCAAAGCAGTTAGTGCTGTTGTTCCAGAAGAGCTATTCACAGTACAATCATCCGCAAGAGCAAGGTCAGCAAGAAGAAATGATTTTCGGAGAGAGTTCTCAACCCCTTCCAAGAAAATATCATCAACTTCACTTGTCTGGGGAAATTTGACATCTTCAAAAAAGAATCTAAGGGCATTTTTCCTAATATACGCTGCTGCTTCAGAACCTCCATGACCATCAAACACCTGGATATGAAGCCAAAACTAAATTAGTTATAACTCCTACAAAATTATCAAATTAAAGCAGTAGCAACCTTAGCCAAAACAGTAATTACCCCATAAAAGGCACTAGGCTTAGGAAACTTGAAAAGGGATCCCAAATGTGATGACAGATCGTCTATTCTAATATGTTCATCTTCCATGCATCTCCTCGGTCCAATGTCAGCAAAACTGCCTGAACGGATGCTCGGGACAAATTGCAGGATGGTAGATTCAATATTACTTGGATCTGGGATTTTTTCTAGAGATTTCACATCCTGAAACGGGAAACATAATTGATATAAATCCTCAAACAGGAAACATAATTGATACAACGATTATATCTTAAAAGGTTTAAACTTAAAACTTCTAATCGTGTTTTCTCTTAAACCGAAATAATAGCAGACTAATATTTACTAGCGCCAAAAAACTCTCCAATTAGAAGTGGTTAAAGCGGAAAATTTTCATTTTTTTATTCCGTCGATGCACTAAAAATGTGTACATAAAACCTTGCCAAATCTCAATTACGCAAAATTCCAGTCATAAAGCTTGTAAATTTAACAATTTTAACAGCTCTTCTCAAAACCCTGAAAAACAGAAAATCTATGGATCCCAAAGCTGTAAATTATGAACATATTTCCTCTAAAACTTACCCATAAATAGGAAAAAAAAAAAACTTCATCAGTTCAGCTAAAATTTCAAAGAAAATAGAATTTGAGGAATTAAAAAGGTAAAAAAGACAACATATTTATACTTCAACCTTTTGCAACCTTATTAGCAAATTTAGTTGAAGTCAACGTCTCATCAAAATCCAGGTTTCTTTACAAACATTAAAACTGGGGAAAAAGAAAAAAAAATTTTTAAAAAGACTAACCAGTTGAGAGTTGGATAAATCGGCAGAAACCGACTCAGCAACACAAATTTGTCCAAACTTAGGCGAAGAAACAGGTGGTGAAATCTCAACAATTTCATCAATCTCCTCGATATTACTTCCCTTAACAAAAAACGGAACGTCCAACACCGGCACGCTCTGTTGAAAAACAACCTCAGCTTCAGGTATCATCTTTCCTCTTTTTTTCAGACAATTACCATAACCAAACAAAAAAACGTCGCAACAAAATTAAAATTCTTCAAACTCAAAAAATAAAGATTTAAGACTTTTTTTCCGTCTCGCGGTTTCTAGGTGATTTTTTTTTTTTTTTTTTTGGGGAGGGGGTCGTAGAAATGATCAAACTTGGTGTTGGTGGGCTTAATTTGGTATTTAAAAGGTCGGAAAGGGGGACGAGCAGGTAATTAGCAACGAGTTTAAAAAGTTGCGGATGGTTGACACGTGTAAGGGTAGAGCCTTTGATATTGTGCGAGAGGGAGTTGATCATTGATCATTGATCATCAAAATCAACAAACAAAATATAAAAGCAAACAGCTTTGGCTTGACGGACACGTGAAAGTTTCTATAGGTTTTACGTCAACGCGTCACCCTTTTAGTCTTTTTCTTTTTAAGAATTATTAATATATTTTGCCGAAGGCCTTGCTTCGTTGTAGAATGACCGGTTCATCCATCGTGTACTTCCTTCCACAGCTTGTCAAGTTTGACTTTTTATCCGGGAACCATAGAAGGATATAGATGGCATTGCAAGTTGCTTCAGGGGTAATTTGGGACATAAAGTGGTCCGCCGACGAGGAATATTTCTATCCGTTTTTTATTCGATTCTGTTCAAACTTGCTGGCAAGGAAGCGGTAGCTTGAGACCGTTGGGAGATCAACGAGTTATGTATCTGTTGCTTAATAGACAAAATTACCCTTCACTTTTGCAGTAAACGACAAGTCTGTGTAACTAGTGTATCTTCTTTCATCATGTGGAAAATCTGAGGACGCGGTTGAAACGGCATCAGGACCGTCGTGTCAGCGTCACTGGGCTCCATTTGTTTTTGGACGGTCCGGATAAATCTGGAATATTGCAGCTTTTGCATTGCGATTATGAAGTTTCTATACTGTACGGTTAGCTACAGTACCACACGTTTATAACTAGCAACCTTTTTTTTAATATATAATTTTTTCACGTGCACAATAGGGCTGAATCCCTTAATTTAACAAAAATGTACGAGATATGGAAATGGAGGACGACAGTGATCTGCTAGTAGCATTTTTAGATGTGATTGCTTGCAAATCGTTGTTTAGAAGATAATTTTGTCAACCACTACTCTAAATATTTTTTAAATGCAATTTATAATAATATTTTTAAGAAAATGATTATATACATAATAATTATATAAATTTCATATACATATTAAAACAAAAATTAAATTAAAAAAATTAATGCATGTGTATAATTTATGAAATATATGCACGTGGCACTCCTCCTTATATAATAATTTTGAATAGTGTCCACATTTTTTTTTTTTAATAATGTCATCTAGACTTAATTAATAAGAACTAAATGACATTGAAAAAAATATTAATTCGAATAATAAAAACCTATTGATAGTGATTTTGAGATATTTTAGTTATGAGGAGATGAGATGAGATTGAAAGAAAGATAACTAAAATCTATAATCACATAACACAATTAAAACATGTCAAAATTATTATTTTGAGACGCGCCTGCTGATACTTAAGTCAATATTATATTTTAGATAGGACAAATGAGGTAAAGAAAATGAAGATTGTGAAGTTTGTGAGAAAAGCTTTAATAAAAGGAAAACTTAAAATGTAATAAAATTAAATATTTTTGTGTTAACGTATTTAATTTTTAATTACCTTATATATAAGATTAATAAGTAGTGATCTGATTAAAATAATTGATAATTAATAAGATATCTATATAAAACTTAAAAAAAATTTATGTGAATAGATATGAATCATATTAATAATCCAAAATAAACGTGAACTACATTTAATAGTTTCATATAAATTAAATGTCAAATGATTAGTTCTAAAAAAATTGTCTTATCGTATTATTAATAGGACCTTAGGTGGGTTTTTCTTTTGACGGCAAGACCTTAGGTGGGTTTTTACTTTGATAAAGGGTGAGTCATTTTTTTTAAGCAAATAACATGATTGGTTAGATATATCTTATCTAAATAATCTCAAGATATGATTGTATTAATCAAGTTTTGATCACTTTAATTATCAATCAATTGACTTAAGTATATTCGGACTAATGCCCCTTCCTTGAAAAATAAAACCACCCTTTGTCTATTAACAAGTGAGAAGGAACTACAATGGGCGGCTTGGACACATACGTTGATGGTTTTATGTTTCCAAAACTAAATTAATTAACCTTACCAACTATTCAAAATGAGTGAAAACTGATGTTTGAATATAGTAATTTCATTTTTCAGTTAATATATATAAATATTGTAAGAAAAATCAACTTGCCCGTATAAAATATTTTCAAACCCACTTGCTATCAATAAGACGTTGAATATTTCATTCACAAATCATCATATATGTTGACCCAAATTAAAGTAAACTCTTTTTTATCGTGACAACGTTGATCTAAAAAAAAATTCCATTTAAAAGCTTATATGTTAGTATGGTCATCCACAAATTTTCCAATGGCGGCTCAAATTGCAAGGTCTACACAAATTTCGGTTCACAAAACATATAGTGAATTTGTAATTGAACATTAAATATAGTAGCCCCAAATGTATATTATTTATTGATTGTTGTCAACATATTTGGATTTTGTAATTTAGGTGAAGATTAGCAGCTAAAACATGTGTCAAGTCACATAATTAGCATAATCGCCTAATCCTAAAACGTTGTCTCTTAGACAGCGTGTCTCATCACCTCGTGTAATTTGCATTATGGAATACACGAAGGCTGTTGTTTGGTGTTGTTATCTCGGTCCATCCAGGGGTAGCTTCAATGAAAGCCGTTGAAACCCACAATTATTAGGGGGAAAAATGGACATGGCTGGCAAAGTGGGACATGACTGGTCCAACTATCCAAACCATTAAGCTTTTTGGGAAATGGACTGAACGCTCTTGATTGGTCCACCTAATTGGCTTGTTTTCTCCAGACAAAGCACATTGCTGGAATTGTCTTTGTGGACTCTATGTAATATTTGCCTTTTAATTATGTTTGGTTGCCCGTTCTCTTGATCATGTAGCGCCAAAAGCATCCTTGTCGAAAAGTTTGGTTTCCTTTGACGAAGGCATATTTTATCAGACGGGAAGAAAGGTTCATTAGTGTCTCTTTGCCTGATAATACCAGGATTATAATAAAACAGGCCACGCAGCTGTTTCTTTTTCTCTTCCTGCTTGTCTTGATTAGGGACTGGGTTTTAACTTTTAGTCACAACTGGTGAAGGTGAAACGCATTTGGACATAATCAGATTAATTACAAGACATTTTGCAGTGACTGAATGTGTTCCCGTTAATTGCAGTAATATTGTTGAGGAAAATTGATCTGATATGCATACAAGGTGACAAATTGAACCATTTGGGCAATATTTGTTTTTAAATTTTGACATTTTGGTTATGATATTACCATAAATAGGCTAGGTTAAAATTAATTAATCGTAGCTTATATGTATATTTAATATTATCATGAAATTTCTACCGAACCTCGACTTTCACATTCCTTATTATTTGACAAGCGTAAAGCTTTAGCTATCATGAACAAATTTTTTAAACAAGTTGGATGCTCCATTATCATCAAATTAATCATGATTCTCAGAGTACAAACTAATCTTTCTACCCAGCTAGAGATATAGTACATGGCAATTGACCAATAATTTGTGCATGCCCAGAACAAACTATATATAATTGTGAGGATGGATTTTTTTAATGAAACAACCTCAATCTGTTGGTCGGAAGCTAGACATGGAACTCGTAGATTTGGCATGAAAGGAGGATGAATATGCACGAGAGAATCTCGCAAGGAGTCAGACAAAAGAACCACTTGTTGGCCTTTTAAATGGTAAGAAGTAGATTTTCTTATGCTTATATTAATTCAGAACTCATAGGAATGCGACAGCAACGTTTTCCGCATTATTGCCTGTAGTTACAAAGTTATACAATAAAGTAACCAGGTGATGCAGCTGATGTTTCTAAGTACTAAAACAAATTTCAAAGGATGGAAAGGCGTGTGAACTTGTATCTAACAGATGGCAAAGCAAAAACCCATATCCCCTTTCTTTGGTAAGTATTCCTACTAGTACCATATTTAGCTGAGCTATATCTTCCTAATATGTTTTGAGCTCGTGGCAACATACAGTAACGACAGGTTTTATCTTGCTTGTTTAACTCGTCTACCTTGTGGAGTTGTGGTCACTTTCTACCTTTTTGGTGAGATTCAATGTAACGATGCATGCACAAAACCCAGACTTACTTTTATATCACAAAACAAGTAAGAATTCTTTTGCTTTTGATCGACTTTGATCACTTTCGTGTCAATCCACCCAAAACAAAAGAAAGATCGACTTCCATTGCATCAATTTGAGCACTGCAATGACTTGGAGGAATATTATTAATGGGCCGTTAAACATTCATGAGATATTGTTATTCGTTTGGGCTTTATAAATTCACAGAACGTTACATTACCAGGGTCTTCAGCCAGCCTTTCAAACATAAATAGAGGCCTGAGCCCAAGTTCATGTCAAAATTATTATCAGGTCGGCCTCTTTGATAGAAGACTAAGTCCAAGTCCACGCCATCTTTGAATTGGGCATTCACTAAAGTATAATAACAAGCGAAGCTGGTAGAACAGGCAAAATCCTAAAAGCACCAAGATGTGAACTCTGACCTCTTGTCCCCCTAAAATTTTCATGGTTTTAACTGAGTGGAGCGACCATTCAAAGTTATGGAAATTATCGTAATGATTGAATCAAAACATTCAGGCCTGTTGCTTGAATAGTCATGTCTCATGGATTTATGTATTGAAGTCCGGTTAGATAAGTAATGATTTTCTGGTTTCTTTGGTACAAATTACTCGCAAAAGAGTAAAAAAAAAAAAACACACTGCCTTTGGTGGTTAAGATGCTTTAGCCTGACTGGTCTCTCTTTCTCTTAGGTCCAAAATTTTCATGAGTGCTTTGCTGTACATGCATTATTGGAGTGGTGCTGACAGTGATTTCATTGACTCTGTTGTGCTGGTAGCATGCATAATTCAATGTAGGCAAGGATCTAGCATTTGCATAGCTTAGCATCATAAAT